ACCTCGATAAATCTATAATTAAATAATAACGATAAACGGGAGGAACACGAGGCTACCTACTACTGTTCGAGTGACGACACCGCTTCTCTCCATATCAGGTTCTGCTTCTTTTTGTCGCATCTCCTCCTCCTCCTCCTCGTCGTCTCTCTTCCATTTCATTCGATTTCTTTCATTCCTCTCTCCGTTCTCCGTCTCCCTTCCATCCCATTCGTTTCGCCTCTGCCGCGAGACGAGGTGGCTCGCGATCGGAGCTGGGCCGAGGTGGAGGCGAGGGGGGCAGGCGTGGAAAGAGACGGAGTTCGAGAGAAGGAGAGACGTGGAAATAGAATGAACGGCGCAAGGGGGAGGGGTGGTGGTTGGGACGCGGAATATAACGGCTCGTAATAAGAGCGCCGCTGATTAAGGATGCCGATCGGGACGAATAAAATGGGCGGTGTCCGCTTCTTCGATCGGTTCTTGCGCGCGTTGAAGTTGGTTGCCTAGTTATGCTAATAGGAACGGATCTATCTGCCTCCTCTCAGCAGGACTTGGCACGCGATACCGCTTCTTACGCTACCTTCTTCTTTCGCCTTTGTCGTCGTCGTCGTCGTCGTCGTCGTCCTCGTCCTCGTCGTCGTCGTGGTTCGAGCCACGATCACGATCACGATCACGATCGTCGCCGCAACGTCTGTCGCGGGACAACGCACACGCACACGCTCCGATTCCGATGGCGCGTCACGGCATCGCGCTTCGTAATCGTGCTCCCTTTTAACATGCATCGGCGCGCTTGCATAAATGAATTCGCGAGTTCGACGAGTGATTTTATACCTTTTATCTTGTTTACATACCGAGAACGGAGGAGCAATCTTCGTTATCTCCGATGGACGCGATTTTATTTAAGCGAACCTCCCCCCGGTGACTTCTTCCTTGCCATCCGTGGAATCGAGACAGACCGAGTAACAAAAGTTTCGAGTGTTTTACATGCGATCAAAAAAAAAAAAAAAAAAAAAAAAAAAACTAAACTCGATACCGCTATATATAATAAAGTTTCCTTACGAAAAAGGACACGTGGTGGATTCCTCGATACGGAACGGATACGATCGAAATTCGAAAGAAAGTATCGTAAAAAAGAAAAAAAAAAATGAGCCGCAAAATAATTTCTAATCAAAAAGTCCCATAATCCATGCAAACTTCGAGGTATTATTATTATTATTATTATTATTATTATTATTATTATTATTATTATTATTATTATTATTATTATTATTATTATTATTATTATTATTATTATTACGACCGAGATATATATATATATATATATGAATTAAGAAGGAAGAAAAAAAATGTGTAAGCGTTACCGCAATACCGAGAGAGAACTCTTTATAAATTTACCGATAAAGGTAAGAAATAACGAACCGCGTTATCTTTTATTTCGTTTCCTTCCTTCCTTCCTTTTTTAAATCGCGTTTAAAAAACATTTCTCGAGTAAAAAGCGGGGCGTAGCGCCTAAAAGCTATCAGGATATAGCTGGAGGATCGACGAATTTTCAAAAATTTCCCTCCCCCTCGGCGATATTTCTGTATAAAACGGGCACGAAATACTGGATTTCATATAAACTGGTAATAATAATTACAGGGAAAAAAGCATGGATAACGATAACGAAAGAAACTCGATCTCTACGATGCTCGACTCTGAATCGGATCGAATCGAACAACGATCGGCCAAGGTTTGAAAAACAAGACACTGGGAACAGCTCATAACCGCAATAAATCGTGGAAACCGCTAACATTCCGCTCTAATGACAGAAATCGTTTCATCCTCGCAAAACAGTTAACAATTGATCGTGTGTACGACCGTTTTCCAATCAACCTCGGCGTAATCGACGTTCCTATTGTGCCATATCGTATGCCGTCTTCTGCT